ATATATATATATATATTNTATATATATATAATATATATATATATATATATATATATATATATATATGTGTGTGTATATATGTATATATATATATATATATATATAACTATACCTATACACGTGTAAGACATTCGAGCTAAATCTGGTTCAAACCTGGCGATGATGTCTATATCAATGAATTGTATATATTGTACGAAATTTTCTACTTTCTAGCTGACTTTCACTTTCAACACTATAGAATGTTTAAGGTAGGTAGGACGGGAATGTGTCGTTTCTTGAACTCAGGGCACTCTTTGTTCTCGCAACTACGCAGAGAATTTTTTATCAAATATTTCCAGTGCATTCTCCTTATTCAAATTCATGATCTTTGACAATGATCTATATTAAAATGAAAGAGAGGCTTATGTGCGAGTTCCTCTGCATGCATGTGATATACGTTACAAGCGCGCGTCTCTGCACAATATTCGTAGTCTTATTTATGATTGTGTCTGGGTATTCCGCCGCTCGCCCACATGGCGAGTGTCCTTTGTTACTAATAGTCGTTATTGGCCACGTACGGGAGCTGAAGGAGGAATTGGCAAGCGTCCATTGCGTTCGTTCTCTCCCCGCTGCACCTTAACCCATATGTCTGCACTCAGGAGGCTCTTTCCGAATGAGATCGTGCAGTATCGTGCCAATGTCAGCAATCGGTCGAGTGTTTCGGGCGTTACGGTATCTGGGCTTGCTTTGCGCAATTCCACGTAGTCGGATATACATTTCTGCAAGTATGTAACAACACAAGTTAAGATAGCATATATTTTACATATATAATTTTTAAATACATAGAGGGCTCTATGTCCCTCTCCACGCGCATTCCAACCCAGCATCAAGGTACGAGCAGTCTGATCTTGATTCGGTGTGGAATAAGCCAAAGCACAAATATATCAATAGTTGGACCGAAAGCCACTCACCTCACGTGTCGCGTCGTCGATTGTGAAAGGCAGCGCTCGACAGGCGGCAACATATGTGCGCAATTGATCGATCTCACCAGCTTGTATCACATTGCGTAGCGTTTGCGTGTGCGACGATGCTTCTTGCTGCGAGTGTTGCACGGCGATCAAGGCGAGTTTCAGGACGAAGTGAGAGGGTTAGACGGATGAAATACAACTCTCGTGTAAACTGTAATACAGCTGTAATACAGCACCCTGATATGATGTGTCGGTGAACATAGAAAAGACTGCTGGCAAAGATGTTTTGGAGAATGAAGTATCTTCCGAATTCGACCATGGAACTAAGTCCAGGTAGATTGTTCGCATACTTTGTTTGCAATCTGTGCACGAACTAAGAAAAGCCAGAGAAACAAGCCAATCCGATGCAAAGAATTTAATACAGAGTGAATGAAACACAAACTCACCGAACTAGGCACCAATTTGTAAGGGAGCTCGGAAGCCAGCATGCTCTTCCCTTCACTGAGCACAAGTGTGGTGGCATCACACTCAAACCTCATTTCGTATGTCTCGAATTGATAGGGGACAACACCACTCACCAGCAGATTTTGAATCGCTTGGAGGTTTTTGACGCCAGTGTCATTGAGCTTACCTGTCTGTTACAGGTCGAGGGTTTCGGAGATTGAGTAACATGCCAGAGACTGGTTGTGCGGTAAACAGGGAATAAAGTCAAGACAAACGTCACTACTCACACCCAAAAATACATTCAGACCACACAGGCAACACACCTGCAAGGCTACTTCATCTATAAGGAAGTGAGTGATACGAGGTGCTACTTGCAGCAATGATTTTCGCAGTCTTTGCGACTCGCCGTCCTGTACTGGCCAGTATCTTTTGAATTTGAATCAAGGAAGGTAAGAGTTTAATAGATAGATCTTTCAGTAAGGAACAGGGTGAGTTGTAACCTATAGCAGTTCAACATGTTGCCCTAGTGCGCAATGAACTAGGGTATACGGTAGTATCTGCAGTAAATCATCACACAAGGTAAGTTTGAAGTATCCGGTGAGCACACGCAGAAAGAATGCGAAAAAAAAATATTGAGCTTTCACACCTTTCGGCATTTAATGTGTCCATCACCAGAGGTATTTTGACGGTTGTCGGGGTCAACGAGCGCAGGATATCTTCAATGTTTGCTACCATCTGGGCATCACAAGCTGTAAATACACATTGGTACAAATTTATGGTTTACACGGACATCAATGTCATTCGCAATGTGTGCGGTGTTTGCTCAAGTGAAGAGGTACGCGGCAATAACACCCAGCATAAAGCGATATGGCTGTGCAAAATATAGGATACATTATTGTCACTAGATACTGTCGACAACCATCTAGCACATACATGGGTTTCCAATTGGAAACAGAAGTGAATTTCCATTGAGCCTCAATTACACATCTACCTGCTCAACACATGCAGAGTCCAGCTAGCAACCGGGTATATATCATCGTATGCACACACACCTCCGAACAGATTCAGAGACACCTTGCCGACTCTTGGACCGGGCTTGGCGCCATTAGGAGCAGCGGACTCACTTATAGGTGTTGAGGACAGCAGGTGCATGAGCACATACTCAGCAGCAGCTACGTCGCCACACAAAGCTTCAGACAGGATCTCAATAATTGTTGCTCGTGCCTTTGCTATGTCCTCTGTATTTTGTCGGTCAAGGAAAGTAGATGCGCTATTACTGCGGAAGTGCGAAGCGTAAGCACAGAATATGTTGTGCAGAATACATAGTACACCCGATCGCAACAAATCTCCGATTGAAACTTGGCTGTCGGTGTGAGATAGAACAATACCTACCATTAGACAGGCTGTCGACAGTGGTAGTGATAGGATTAGTTGATAGAACACTCTCTAAGTGCACGGCCTGTAACCTTGGCATATGCTGAGGTGCCACGGCTGTATCCAATTCAGGAAACATGCCCATGGGATCATCTGTTGTAAGCGAAACAGATATTTTGATTAACTAATAAAATATTTATACGGATGTGCTGAAATTTAACGCAATCAGGGGCAGTTGTGCAGAGACACGTTTGTTTATGTAGCTTAATGCTGGCGATGATTACACAATGCAACGTAGATACTTACCTACAGGCTGCTCAGCGGTGATTGGTGTTGAAACAGGCTCTGATAGGATACCGTATACATCAACGTGCGTGTTGATCGCCGGATCTTCTGTCGAGCCATAGAGTGTCACCACGGCTGCTCCCACCGTCTCCTCATACACCCCCATGCCTGCACTTAAACTAGCCCCTTGTGAGTCAGTAGCACCATCTTTGCTTGTATCCGTGTTTATCTCTGTGCTTGTCTCACCGTTAGCTCCCGCACCATCGGCTGGTATCCTATCACTGCTGCTGTTAGTGTGTAGAGGTACGTTTGTGGACGCTGCCGCTTTGACACGCTTGGACTCTGTGTCTAGTGTATCTTCATCAATACTCATGCCATTGTCAGCTTCGTCTGATTGCTGTCTCTTGCCTGCGGCTATACTCAAACCAGTATCCAAACGAGCATCACTTGTACCTGCAGTACCTGGGGCGACCTCTTGCTTTCCATTGAGCATCTCAGTCACCCAGGTGTTTTGACCAGGAATGGGTGTCACATATACTTCGGTCTGTGCTATGAAGGTGTTGCTCTGGGCATGAGGATCGATGTGGGCACCATCCGGAACTTGGAGTTCAGACTGATATAATCCACACACTGGCCTCTTCTCACCGTTTGACAAAATGGCAGATCCCTTGCAAATACAGTACCTAGGAGCAGACATACGAACATGGTAAAAATAAGTTTGCATGTACGAAGGAGACACAGCCAGAAGAGCCAAGTAAAGGCAAATCGAGGGCGTCAAAAAGACAACATAAAACATACCGACGGTCAAATGTATGATGCACCATTCCTCGCATACGCACCAGCGAGCCTGGACGTAATAGTTCTGCGTTCGATGCTGTCAGGATTGGCACCTGGATTTTACAGGAATGAAAGTTAGAAGATGCATAGTACGTGCAAGTCTTGACTATATAGCAAAACCTGTCGTGGCTACCGGCGTTGCAGTATAATAAATTTGTGGAATACAAAAGAATATATTTACTGCATGTGATCTGGTACAGGTGGATAAATTGCAGAGTCACACTGAGGTCATTTTGCCTTGCACTGCACGCTTCGGCATAACATCAACGTGCGCACCCACCCACAAAATCGACAAACAAAGCGAGGAGCAAACTCGTATCGCAAGTGCAATAAAGGTCTACAACTTAATCGAATAACACACCAGATCAGTGTTCTCCTTTTTGCTGAGTATAGTTTTGAAGTACTCTTGGACACCCATATCTTCATCCGTGCACTGATCGACGCCATTTATCACATTCGCTGTGAATTTGTCAGAGGAAAATTGGTGAAGGCAAACTTGGCGAAACAATATATCATCACGCAGAAACGAGTAAAATAGGCTCCGGATACCGCAGCTGGTAAGCATGTCATTAAAAGCGCAAACGATGTGTATACGAAAGCGCTGGTGAAATAGAAAAATATTAGAACAAAAGAATAATAATAATAGTAAGGCGAATACACACAAACACACACACACATATATATATATATATATACATATATATATATATATGTGTGTATATANATATATATATATATATATATATAATAATATATAATAATATATAATAATATATAATAA